TATCAATTTATTCAGTAATGTATCAAGATATTTTTTTTAGCAAAAGGAAGGAGATATTGACCAGATCACCACTTTAAGTTATATCAGTGTTACCTGCATCATTCCTACCTAATGATAAAGATATTCCTGATTAAGCAGTTTTTGGCCAATATCCCACAAGATAACCAAAACACGTTTTACTCCAAGGCTATTCATGCAGTGCTATGGAAATTCACTTCTAGAGCAGGGCTGTTAAGCTCCTGGCCCATGGGCTGGATGTGTGACATGCTGGCCATGCCCATGCCTGGTTTAGCGAAGGGGAGAAAAGTCCCGATATGTCATGTGATGCTGCTGTGATGATGTGAGTTTGACACCCCTCTTCTAGAGATTGCCCTGCAACTCAGTGTAGTATTGCCCACACCCACCAATTATGAAGAATATGTAGTTTATCTTGATATATCTGGGAAACTTGACCTTCTTAACTAATATGCCTCTATGTAATTGGTTGTACATGTCTACTGATTTCACAGCATCGTGAAATGTATAATGTATAAAGTCTTCCATGAATCTTTAGATGTGCTTAAACTTTGTTAAATCTTTGATGGAAAACTGTAGATCAGATGGGAAGGCAAGGAAATATCCAGCTAAACTGTTGCTAAGGAAAACACATGGATATATCCATGTAATAACCAAGTAACCAAAAATCTACTTCCACCTAAAGGAAACTTTTACTTTTTATGACATATGGATTCATTCATACACAATGTATGATTCATTTTTTAACCTTAAACACTTCTTGATTGGAAATACACTGTGTAATACTTTTAGGCAGAATTAACATTTCAAATTATTAGGGATTAAACAAGATACCATACAATAGACCAGAGCTTAACGTCAAACATAAGTGGCTTAAGTGTCAGTGGATAGGGGTAAAGGATGAGATTGCCTTTCAGCCACTGAACCAAAAAGAAAATGGAAACTTGAGAAAACAAGATTTTTTTTTACTGTTTTTAAGCTCCTTAAATAGTATTTTCTTTTAGAATAAGAGCATCGATAGCTGAAATGAACTACAGTCCATGAAAGCTATTAACATAGTACATTTGTTAACTTTTAAGCTGCCCAAGTCTGTTTTTTGTTCTTGATAAAAGAAATAATGTATTCCTGCCTTCTGTGCATAAGTGCCCTTACTTAACCATGATAATGACCTAATCATGAAATGTGCAGTATAACATGCATATGACATATGTATGTTTTGCTTCTTCATATTATCAATACAGTATCACATAGAAGTATAAGGAATAGAGTTTGTGTTGTAATGTCAAAACACACCCATCCTTTCCTATGAATGCCCATACTTCTATATATTTCTATTTTGGACATTGTATAAGTTTCCCCATGAATTCAGATACAGTGTATTTGTTTTTCCATGACTTCCCTGTGTTATTGAAATAGTGCATTTTTGGTAGGACACAAATCACACTGTTTTTTAGCTTAGTCAATGCAGTTCTGGAATATATAGAAGTAT